TCTCTGGTGAATCTTCACTGGATTCCTCAACATCCGTCTGCTTTTTTAGAAAAAGGCTCAGTTTTCTGTTTCATTTTGAATACTTTTGTAGTTCGCCGAATTTTTTTTGAACGTATAATGAATAAGTTTTCGGTGTTGCTTACTATTTATTTCGCTTTTTTTTAATGTATATATGTGTGTTTGTGTACAGATAAGTGGATTTGCGTTTTATATTGCTGGTGTTGCTCATATAAATGTTGTCGTTGATGTTGTTGCTCTTGTTCTTGTTGTTGTCGTTGTTGAAATTTGTTATTTCTGGTTGTTTCTACTTAAGAAAGTGCAAGCGCTGTTGCGGTCGTTGTTATGGCTGTTACAAACATTACCGAAAGTTGTTATGACAATTAAGGAGAAGATTGAGGCTCTGGAAGGAGGAAGATGAAGGATCGCTCCTTACCTTACCAGGGTACTACAGGCCTCTATCTGGCCACTTTCCATAGACATGAAAAATAATCTTACGAGAGACATTGACAGTAGGTCGTGCAAAAATTTTCCGGAGCAATCATCCAGATCACTTCAGCCATCTCTCCGGTTATTCCATCCATACCCGGCTTTTTAAACTTATTTTTAAACATAACATGCCCCAATTCCGGTTCTTCCAAGGGAGAAGAAGAAGATCCTAACTTCAGCTTTTCCACGAAAAAATTAACGCACCACTATTTGCAGCACTCCCTCCAAGTGGTTAGTACAGCATTGCTTGCATGAATAACGTTGATTGCCGACAGTTAACTATATGGACTTGATCACAGGGATAATCGAGGTTGTTAGAAACAGAAGCTTTGCATTCTTCCTTTTTTGGCTTGATAAAGCATTCGCTTGTATTCGTTCACGCACTGCGTTAATGCAGCTCTAAGCTGAATTAAATTTGTTTCATTAGACCGTCTCGCATGTTGGAATTGTTTCTTAAGCCCCTTTCAATATGTCTTACGTCCTTTCTCAAGAAAAAAATCCTTGACGCCAATGTTTAACATTCGGCTGGGCTTACACCAAGCATAGTTAGCAAACAATTCAATTACGAGGTGCTCAATAACATCCCACCCACCTTTAACCTCCCACAAGAACTCAAACACTTATAGCTGTCCTACTCACAATAGTAACGTCAATGTCCTCGTCCCAAGTAGACCATAAAAAGTTAACCTTGCACTCGGGTCATCTAGTACTTGGACATTTCTAATTAAGAAACATTCAGAGAAGATTTCACTTCCTACTTTGTTCAGTAAGTCAAAAGCCCCTTTTGTCACCTTTCTAAACCAAGAGGGTGAGTAGGCGTTAACTTTCAGTCCTAAAATCAATGGGGCGCAAGCGATGACTCCTAATCCATATACTTAATGTAACCATCCAGTTTCTGATTAAACTCATAATAGCGGCTAACAAGAAAGAACCTCCCATGTGGATCTTCTGCGGACAAAGACACCACGTCTACTAGCAAAGGCAATTGTAGCTTCCACATTCACGTCATCCACAATGACAACAGACTAGCTACTAGTGTCAAGATGTAGTATACCTTCAGGGCTAATAATAATTTATGATTAGCTCCCGAAATTGGGGTGTTCAACAACAGAAAGTTGCCCTCTAGAATTTATGTTAGTATATTAGATGATCGTGAGTGGTAGTGTAGTGTAAGTGTAAACTTATCTCGCCAGTCAGTATCAGCAAAACAAATTAGTTAATAAACATTATAATAATTATATTAAATAATATGAATTATAAATTATTAATAGGAATTATGTGATCGAATATTTAACTATATTAATTAATATACAATAAAGTTTAACTTACCAATTTAAATATACTCCGAATGTACATTTGTGCTAAATTGAATTTTCGGTTATACTTTAAACTCGTTTTTTTCTTTTGTGTTCGGTTTAATTATTTTTACGCCCTACATGTGTATGTTGTATACTTTTAACCTCTGAACGTTTAACACTCTTTTTTTATTTATTTTGTAATGACGTTTGATATGGTATCGTGTGTTTAGATTATCAGTTTAGGCCCTATGCTGCTCGGCTGCAGTACGCCAAGTCTATCCGTCTTTTATAATGCCAAAGTGTCTCGGCATAAGACGGTCACTAATCTTAATGGTTCAGGCAGATTGAATGCCTAGTGCTATTAGCGAGTAAAACGCTTGGTTGAGTTGCTTTATGAGAACTCTGATGAGAACTGATTTTCTTTATTTTCTTACGCACTATTTATACTAAATTTTTACACTAAATTATTCTTATCTTATTCTAAACAGGATTGTAATTGCTTACTAAATTATCCTTATCACACACTAGATTATTCTTATATAAACAGAATTATCACTGTTTACATGCGAAGTGAAGTGTGACATTTTATTTTATCAAAAGGGTTATGCTGAAGTGGCACAATTTTGTCACACTTCAAGAGGATGCATACGATAGTATGCGATCACACTACAATTTATTTAAGAAAATACTTATGAGAAAGATAATGTATATTTTGTGAATTTATCAGCAAATTTTCTCACGTTTTGTCCAAGTGTCTTATCTCAGGTCAATTAGAGTTAAACGTTATTCTTATTTCAAAATAATCCGGTGAACTTGCTCTGTTTGCATGCCCACGTATTTCTTCTTTTAAACTCTCAAAAATTCCAAAGACGTGAATATACATTTTATTCGCTCATTTCATTTTCTTTACGAAGAATAAAATATTTTATTATTAGCTGTATAACTGGGTGCAAGCGTGACGATAGTTTTAAATTTTCAACAGCCTTTCGTGAGCGTTCCAATTAATTTTTTTTTAATTACTTTAAACTTTTTTTTATTTCGGTTCTCGTGGAAATTTTTTAAAATCAAGAATCAAAATTAATTTGATATTCTTCTTCTAACTTCTCACGGGAGAAGAAAACACCCATCAGGTTCGTTGCCTACAGCTGCTTTATGAAATCAGGCGAACTTATATTGGGATGAACACAGAACACTTATCGTCGGGCTCAATTTGCCTTGAGTGGTTACCTTAACCTGAACTCTCCAAATTTCACGTTGGCCATGATATTCTCCCTTTAAGCCGTGGATGGCGTGTGGAGAACAGCACCGTCTGTGTGAGTGAACTTATTCACACGAACAGATTCAAGCGCTAACAATTGACTTCTTCACCTTGACGTCTTCAACAAAGAAGCCGATTGGCTAAAACAAGCCGAAGTCCTTGAGCCCATCCATCGTAGCATTGAAATGAAAACTGACACATCAAGTGTGAATAAACCTGGGCATGGCTTGATTGGCAAATTTAATGCTCACATAAATTTGGCTGATACGTACTTCAACCAACCCGGAAAGGTAGATATTCTGTTAGGTGCAGAATACTACTTTGAATTAATGCAGACCGGCAAAATAGAGTTAAGCAACGGCGTTCCAACATTCTTGAACACATCTCTAGGCTGGATTGTCAGCGGCAAGGTAGCCGTACACATATAGCTACATGCGCTATCTCAACAGTCGATATAGGAGCTGCCAACCGTAAGGCGCTAAATCATGTGATTGAACGCTCACGGCAAATGAATGACGATGGACTGTGCGACAAAGGGCTACCCTGGCCTTACCCGGTTACCGAAGATTGACCACTTTTGTATTAAGGCAAAGGTGGAACGAATTAACCTCGCCACAAAACGGTCTGTAAGCTCTGATTTAGCAAGATTATTTGATCCACTTGGACTTTTAGCTCCTCTTGTGGTAAAGGCAAAAATATTCATTCAGCACCTATGGTAACTAAAGCTGACATGGGATGAACAATTACCACAAGAACTGAACACGACATGGACCAACTTCCGTGAGAGTTTGGTCACGCTAAACAATTTACAAGTCTCCCGATAAACCTTCAAGGGTAAGCTTCCAACAACAATTCAGTTGCACGTTTTTGCGGATGCCTCCGAAAAGGTGTTCGGAGCTGCAGCATACATGCGAGCCATATTTCAAGATAGCGCCATAATGACACGCTTACTATATGCAAAATCTCGAGTAGCACGTCTCAAAAAACAAACTCTTCCGAGATTAGAATTGTGTGCAGCGGTGTTGGCTGCACAACTCGCATACCGATTGCGTAAGGATATGCAATTCAGCGAACTACCAGTACATCTGTGGACGGATTCCGAGATCGTGATTTCTTGGTTAAATTCGCAATCTTCATCATTTCAAACATTTGTGGGCAACAGAATCTCTCATATTCAATCGCTAACTCTGCCGCAACAGTGGCGACACGTGAGCTCCAAGGATAACCCAGCAGACATTCTCTCAAGGGTATTATAAGCAAGAGCCCTACCAGAAAGTCAAATGTGGTTTCTGTGGCCATTATTTCTACACGGCAGCGAAGAATGTTGGCCAACACCATTCCTGCCACAGTTCCAAGTTCCTACCGACCTTGAACGCAAGAAAGACTCCATTGCGATACTAACAACTACATGTAACTATGAATTCATTTACAACATCGATCACAAGGGTTCTTTCGGCAAGTTGCAGCGAATCATCTCCTATGTACTTCGCTTCATCCGCCTATCGTCACCCAGATCCTCCTCAAAACCGGATCTCACAGCACTCACTACCAAGGAACTTGAAGCTGGACTTATGATCATAATTCGCGCAATTCAGAGTCATGGCTTCCAAAATGAGATCAAATAATTGAGGAACCATCAAGAGATTGCAAAGCAAAGTCCAACCTGCACACTGTTTCCGTTTTTTGATGACAATGGAATCATTCGAGTAGGTGGACGGTTACAAGAATCCGCTCTACAATGTGACACGAAACACGCAATGGTCCTCCCATATAATGATGCATTGGTTAAGCTGCTTTTCAAGCTAGTTCACGACGACAATGAGCACTGCAGTACACAAGCAGTGCTGGGAATAATCAGACAACGGTTCTGACCTATAAGAGGAAAAACAACAGCCAGAGCGATTGTACAAAAATGTGTACAATGTAACAAATCACGTCCTAAATTATGTCAACAAATAATGGGCAATCTCCCTCATGCACGAGTAACACCGGCCTGGCCATTCATAAATACAGGTGTTGATTATTTTGGCCCATTATGGATCCATTATAAGATAAGAGGAAAGAAACCCGCAAACGCATATGCAGCAGTTTTTTGCTGTACCGCTATAAAGGCAGTTCTCTTTGAACTAGTAAGTGACTTTTCAACCGAGGCCTTCTTAGGAGCTTTCAAACGTTTTATTAGTCGAAGAGGACGCTGTCAAAACATTTATAGTGACAGTGCAACGAACTTTGTTGGTGCCATCAACAAGCTATCCGAACTCTCCGGCTCGATCTTTGCCGAAAATGGAAAACAACTCGTCACTTCAACGTGCAGTTCAAAGGAAATACAGTTTCACTTCATTCCCCCCAGAGCGCCCCATTTTGGAAGCTTATGGGAGGCAGCTGTCAAATCAGCAAAACACCTTCTAATCCGCAGTGTAGGCTCAGCCTCATTAACTTATGAAGAATTGGAGACGGTGGTCATTGAAATAGAAGCGATTTTAAATTCACGTCCCTTGAAACCTATGTCCAATAATCCACCCGATATCTCTGCTCTAACTCCAGGACATCTATTAACTGGTGAAGCCCCCACAGCTCAAGTTGACACTGAAGCCAGCTCCAAGAAGCTATCACTCTTGTCAAGATGGGAACTTGTCTCTCAAGTTAAACACGAATTCTGGAATGAATATCTTCACGAATTACGGCAAAGACACAAATGGAAGAAATCATCTCCCAACATCAAGCCAGGAGATATGATAATTATCAAAGAAGATATTATTCCCACCATGAAATGGCCATTAGGACGAGTTGTAAATGTATATCCAGAAAATTATGGATCTACTCGAGTTGCCGATGTAAAAACCTCATCGGGAACTCTTAAACGACCAGTACATCGCCTCGCTTTGCTTCTCATTGATGACAACAACTCAGATGCACACCTCCCTGCAGAAGAAACTGCAGACCAAGATATTGAGCCAGAAACTAAAATAATGAAATTGCCGTCAATTAATGTCTTGGTCACACTGTTAGCAATGCTCTTAATACTGTCCCCATGGTCTTTGGAACCCGAACAACCAATCAAGAATTTGGATCTAAGCTTGGAATCTATTTTGAAGAAATAGGCGCCACTACTATATCCACAAGTTAATGGAATATAATTGTATATTACGACTTCTCAAGCTACTGTAGCGATATGGCGTTCTTAGTCAACAGAACAAATCATCTACGGAACTTTTGCACAAAAATGAAACCAAAGTTCTCATGTTTACACGCTATAAAGCATTTTCAACACATTGAAACTGATTTGGACCTCGACAACAGATTGCTGCACAGATCACGAAAGAAAAGAGGCTCAATAGACTTCATTGGGAACATCGCACACTCATTGTTCGGTGTACTTGATTCCGAATATTAGAAAAAATGGCAACAACAATCACCAAGTTACAAGAGAGTGATTCGTTCATACTGAAACTATTAAGGGATCAAACATCAGTCGTCAATTCAACAGCGAACCTTATTAAACAAGGACTGGCCTCCACAAAGTCAAACTTCGATGATCTGCAACTTGAAATCAACAAAATCTACAAGGGTGAACAGGCACTTTATGACGAGCTATATCAAGTAAAATTTAGGCATTTTGCAGTTAACACTCATAGCCAATAAATTGCAAAGAATACAAGCATGTATTCTGGATGCGCTGATTGATATCCACCATGGAAAAATCAATCCATTATTATTAGCGCCAGCAGAAGTCGAAACCGAGATCAGGCAGCTCAAGGGTCACCTGTCTCAATCATTGGAGTTACCTGCATCAGAGGACGATATCTTGGAGCTTTATAAATTAATGTAGATCAAAGGTTGGCTCACTCGCAGTCATGTGTTATTCAATATAACGTTGCCATTAATCAGTCACGACAAATTCAAAATTTATAAATTAACGCCTGTTCAACTCCAGTATAACTTCAACGCTGAAAAATGAAAATGTGAAATTAATCTATTCAACAACCTTACTTTGCCAAATTGCCCGCTGACTGTGCTCACAACAAATGTGACGTGGATGACTTTAGCACACAGCAACCAACGGATCTATGCATCGTCATTATCACGCAAGCAACTGCTGTATGTGACAGAGATATAATATCTTTCAATTTGAAGGGCTCTGGTCTATTAACTATTGAACCAGAATGCATTCTCCAGCACAACTCCGCCCACATCGTCGGCCATAAATCAATAACAGCAACATTGATGTCAGCATATACAAGCCTTGGAGAATTCGCAGAACTGTCACAACAAGACTTCATCAATGGCAGTTCCATCGGAATCTTCAACTACTCAGCGCTATCCAACCACTATGCTACTCAGCTAACTGAGCTAGCAACAATTCAACGCAAGCTGGAAGTTATACAAGCAACAAAACTTCAGCATCATGGCTCGAATCATCACTCCAAGGTGGCATACTCAGCACTGGCCATCAGCGCAGTCGCAATCATCGTCATATTCTGCAGTATAGCCTTCCTTAAGAAGGCGGTAATTGCACACATTACCGCTGCATCTAATCAGGACATCGCACAACATGACACCACACCAACACCAGCTCCCCGTTCTCCTCCTAGTTCAAGTTTCACAATCCAGGTTTAACAAGACACGGACAACCAAGTTAGTTGACCGATTGGCAAACGCGGGGGAAAATGTTTAGGTTAAATATCCATATTTTATTTTATTTATATTTTGTTTAGTGTATATCTGCTTAATTTGAATATACTTCTTTCATTTGATATTTTACGTTTGCCTTGCACATTCAAGTTTGGTTGAATGTGCATTCATTGACTTGTTCATGCACTTGCATTTGCATTGTTATGTGTTGATCTGCTTTATAATAACTGACCATAGTTAATAATATCAAAAATTATGCAATCCAGACCTTGAAGTGTGCCGTCGTTGTTTACACTAATTTGCGTATGCTGCATTTCCATGGTACACTTCAAGTCGTTCATATTTCTTATAAGAATTGTAATTTATAAGTCACATTTTCTAGCATTGAAATTGTCTTTGTGAAGCAAATCGATCGCCCTTTTTTTATCTTAGCGTTTCTTTCAGTTCCAAGTGCTGGAAGAAGCATCTCAATAAGTTGGTACCACCTGACGCAACGTCTTGTCGAATCATGCCAACCAAGTAGGCATTACAAACACAGTGAAGAAAACCATAATCTCAACATTCTGGTGAACCCGACATATTAAACATTAAACATATATACATATAAACATTATATACAACGTTACTATCAGGGACATCATGTTTTGAAAACAAACTTTCTAGTACTATTCTATGACTCTTTCCTCTACCATTTCCTTAAAAAATTTTACATGCAGGATATTTATCTCCTGCCAACCGAGGAGCATTTATCTAAGATTTTTTGCTGGGCAACTGCCCATTTCTTCGATACAATGAATAGAGCACGACGATCGGTATGCCTACATATGTCACTCAGGTGCTAATGAGAGCGGCGTGCAAACGAGCTGGAGGCATAAGTGACATTTATTATGGTGTAGTGTAATTAATGAGTTCGGTGTGATTTATTGTGTTGGTGATTTCAATTGTGGAGAAATCACCATTGTGATTATATACGTTCTTAGAATATCAAAGTGTGTAAGACATCCCAACTAAAATTGCGCAATGCAAAAAAAAACCTCTTTCTAAATAGACTCAATCGAGTCAACAATAACGGAAGTATTGAAATATAGTTGAAAATAGGTCTGGCTAAAGATATAAAATAATCTTACGTGATATGATGGCCGATTTCCTTCGAAAATCACTTTCATATCAATCACATAGATTTTTTCAAAGAAAACCCGATTTCAATTTTAAACACACTTATCTTACTTATTAGCACAATTTCGCAAGTTGCATTATTTAGGTTGCAATAAAAGGAAGTAAAATTTTCAATTGACAGACAACAGTCGTTAATCATACTGACTTACAATTTTCGCTCCGCGTTGATTCTTTTCAATAAGCTATGGTTATTTTTTGTATTTTTTTTTTTATTCCTTTAACTTTCTATTCCATAAGCTTTGTTTTTTTTAATAAGTTATTCATTCAAGCGTTAGCCTAAGTATTGAACACATGAATACTGCTTTCCATTTTTTATGTAAATATTTCATTACTTAATTGAGACACCTGCATTCGACTTTGTAGTACCCTAGCCCTTGGCTTTGATGAGGCAGGGATTACTAGAAATATAAAAGCCGTAGCTTCCAAAAATACAAAATTTAGTACAACTTAATTAAGCCTACCACATTTCTCTATTTATGAGCTGTAATTATTTAAGACGGACTGAAACGAGACTTTCTATGAAAAAAGACGCCTAGATCCGAAAATGGAGGAAGCGAAGTCAAACCTTTGCGCGTATACAATTTTAAGAAAGTAAAGATTATTTCACAAGTTAAGCTCATGCAATTTATCTGAGCTGGTGCACCTAGGAAATTAAAAAACTAGGGAAATAAAAAAGCTAACAATATCTGCATATATAAAAATTTTTGCCACACTAAATAATCGCAGGGAGAGCGTTTAGTTATTAAGCAAAAAAATAAGATCCAAAGTTCACTGTGAGACAACTGATAGGATAAGTTACAATTTGAAGAAAAAGTTCGTAACCTTTGATTTTTTTATTACCGTGCTAACTTACCAAAAATTTGCATATTTCCTGTTTTTTTATGGCTACTTTCATCGATGTACTACACGCTGATCGGTTTTCCGCGTGGTTATTCTTGTTTATGGGAAAAAAAATCTACATTTTCCTTTTGCATTATGCACATCTCTTTTGTGCGACTGCTTTTGGTTATCATGTCTCTTCCTCTTACTGTTGCAATCGCTATTTACTTTTGGTTTGGTTTTGGAAAAGCTTTCTTTACAAAAGCAATTCCTTTTCTTTTTAGCAATGCTAGCTTTAGTCAAAGTAAGATTGATATAAAACTCTTTTTACCCTAAGTTTATTAATCGCACATATTATACTCTTACTCTACTAACCCGCCTGTCGTAACGCTAATTGCCAACGATTTAATCGCGATAGGTTTTGTTTTGTTCTTACGATTGCTCTATGGAATAGCCGTTGAGGCAACACACTTATACTTTTATATGTAGCAGGCTTATGTTTACTTTCTTAAAACTTTCAAAACGGTCGGTTGTGCTATAGTAGTGAGACGTAATTTTTAAAATGGAACGCCAAAGTGATTATATAGGAAATGTTAAGTTATGATTTCCTTGAATGTGTTTGTTAGCGCGTCTAACACCACACAACAAATGATGAGACGTGCGAGTTAGAATGTTTTCTTCCGAATGTATTTATTAGCGTGTCCGACGTGGACACTAAACAAACAAGGGTAATAGACCGTCTTATACGGTCATTTTAAATTGGATTTGTCAATGCCTTTTTACTTGGCAGGCTTCGACAAGACGTTGCATCAAGTCGTACCAACTTACATAGACTTGGTTCTTCCAGCACTTGGAACTTGAGAAACCACTAAAAACAAATAGTGATCTATGCAATATTCAAATAGTACAAAGAGGAATTTTATTACGAAAAGTATGGCTTATAAACAATAATTCTTATAAACTAACTTAGAATTATATTGACATAAATGAAATCATAAAATTGATGCACTTGCATATTTGCGTTTATTTATTTCCAGCAATATGATCAGCTTGAAATGTGCCACAAAAGTGCAACATAAGCAAGTTAATGTAAACAATCGACGACACACTACAAGGTCTGGATTGCGTAATAAACGATATTATTGGCTGTGGTCAGTTATACCAAACAGACATACAAAGTGACTGCGCAAATGCAAGTGCATAAACAATATTGTGTGAATGAGTGCACATTCAACCAAACTTGAATGTGCAAAGCAAGGATAAAATGTCAAATGAAAGTGTGTATTTAAAATAAAGCAGATACAACTAAACAAACTACGAGTAAAATAAAATATGTATATTTCAACTAAACAGGACTATGCTACTTTTTTAGTTGAAAACATTTTTCAAATTTTTCAGTGAAAGCTTTACTGCACTCTGGCAGGTCAAATAGCATTGATGACGATCATCTGAAGGTTATGATTGAAGCTGGTCG